GACTGTATAATCAGACAAAAAGAAAAAGGTGGTCATGCCACTTACCTGACCTACTTCAGGTTGTGATGTCCTAAATATTAACAACAACAATTTAACTGTTAGCAACCATAAATAAGGCTACAGTCTTCTGGGGCATATTATTACAATTACTGAGCAATCACTGCTTCATAGTGGAACAGAATTGGTTCATCTGTAATACACAGCTATAGCATTTCTTATGAATAATTGATTAATGAATGGCCAAAATCCTGTATCATGACTGTGCAGCATTAGTCTCTGCATGTGGAATTATACATTGGTTGGACTATACAAACCTTGTTTTGTTTTAAACAGCACAAAGCTTGCACACTGCATGTACAACTCCATTTTCACAGCCTTGAATTTAATGAAGATTTTCCACATTGGGCAAAAAAGTTCAACTGCTTCCATCAGGGAACATACACATCTTTAAATGAGTTTATGCTATAGGGGGAGTGGTTTGAGTGTTGGACTACAACCAGGGTTCAAATCTGCATTCAGACATAGAAACCCATTGGGTGACCTTGGGTATGTCACACTCTCTCAGCCTCAGAGGAAGGCAAAGGCAAACCTCTTCTGAACAATTCTTGCTGAGAAGACCCCTTGATAGGGTCACCATAACTCAGAAATGACTTGAAGGCACACAACAACAACAAGCAGACTATAGTATAAACAAACATTCAGGATATCTGTGTAGGGGAGTAGATATCTGTGTAGGGGAATAGATTCTAGCAGAGAATTATTAGGACATTTTTCTGGCTGCAGTCGTGCTTGTTAAAGAAAACAGAATCATATCTGTTTGTGAGCACCCATTATCACACATCTTGTCAATTGTGTGATTTGGGCTGGTTCTGCCATCATGCTCTCTTCCAGATTCCCCCTTAACCCCACCTCATGCCCTATCCAGCATGCCTTTTCAGTTTTATTTTATTTTTATTTTCACTTTTTAACACAATTCCAGAGTTCTGCTAATTTGATTTAAATTCAAAAAGGAAAAATAAATAAACTAGGCTGCTTGGGAATAGCGAGAGGGAGTGGGGACAGGGAAGAGAAGGAGATTGTGACACTGTTTGAGTGCCAATATTGCAACTGCCATGGCAGCGACATTTTGCACATGAGAATTAATGGAACTGCCATGCTACTAGTAGCTTATTGACGGGTTTCCCCCATCAATGAGAAGGGATGCCCGAACCACACATCACAGACACAGCAGCTGGAGTTGGAGGTGACATCGTGTGATAAGTATTGCCAAATGCACTATTTTATATTTTATCATTGTGGTTTAAAAATTGTGTGTGATAATCTCCTAAGTGTTTTACCATGCTATAAATTACAGGCTTTATCTGACTTTAGGAGTCAGCTTGCAGCAACACAACCGTAGTAAACAATGCAATAACCTTGAGCTGGGGAAGGATGGGACTTGCTTTAGCCAATCCTCCTATAGTTGTGTATGCCTGCCTACAATAGATGAGGGAAACAGCAGCTGCCTCCAGAACCCAGTACTGAGGATGTGGGAAGGACAAAACAGAAATAAAAGAATTGAGCCTATAAGCTTGACTCACCAGCTACCCCCAGGTAGTTAAAAAAACAATGATCCTGCATTGATCTATAGGTTGAGCCACCAAAACAGAAATCATAAGAAGGAGGCTGGTGAAAGAAAAAAAAATCATCCTTGTTTTGGAAGAAGTGTTTTAAGTAGTCTCAAGAAGGCACAAAATGTTTTAGTTTACGTATGCAAAGCTTACCTGACTAGGTTGTTTCATTCCATGTGTGCATTTTGTTAGTTTTGAATTACAGTCAGCCCTCTATATCCATGGATTCTTTATCTGTGTATTCAACCATCCACAGCTTGGCTATTCAAATAAAATAAAATAAAATAAATTTCAAAAAGCAAATCTTGATTTTACAATTGTCAGAATTTATCTGGTCGGGCAGAAGACCGAGAATTAAAATGGTTTATATGCACGATAGCACAGAAAGAGGAGGTCTTGCAGTGCCAAATTTGAATTTATACTTTGAA